AATAATGTACAGTATGTGGAAAATAATGTGGTTTTTTTTACCTTAAACCGCATAAACACATTTCATTACACCAAATACACAAAATAATGTTCTTTTTAGCAACATCATATGACCCCTTTAATTATCTGCTGTTTAGGGCAGAGTGGGACGGAAATGTCTGTGAATGACCTTTGGCAGTTTTGTGAGCAGTGCCCACCAGACTAACGTGGACATGCAGTCTGAAACTGAGATTAGCATCTGAGAAAATAAGACATTTAATCAGAACTCCTCTTTTGATGACTTAGATAAATGATCACTGATGTTTGTTTGGTATTTTTCTTGTTGAATGGCAGTTGGTTATGTTAGTTATTTTAATGTCATTGATATACTGTTTGTTAATATATAGTTTGTTAATATTTTTAATTTGATTGTATTTTAACATTTTCAGTTTTCACTTTGTTAATTTTTTTTTTTTTTTTGTCTTTTAAAAAAAATATATCTCTGTGTAGTTTATTTATTAGTTTTATTTAGGTCTAGTTATTTTAGTACTTCAAATTAAACTAAATGAAAATGTGAAATGTTACTTTAGCACCTAACGAGATAAAATAATTTGACTTATTGATTATTTTGTATTTTTTGAGTTTTGTATTTTTATTGTAGTTAATGTTTATATTATTTCAAGTAAATAATTTTTTTAATGGTTTTATTTTTAACTATAACAGAAGATTGACACTGGCTCTCAGCTATGCAGTTAAGCTAAAAGCTAACAAAAGTAACCAAGCATATTCTTTAGTCTTCCACCTTCGATATTTCCACCTATATGAAGCCAGACCTAGGTATATCATAGGTATAAAATCCCATTTGGAGAACTTGGACATTAATATGGACATCATAACATTGACACATCTGTGCCCTATATTGCCTTGGAATATTAAAAAAACAACTATTATGATGCACCTGCCTCAGTATAAAAAAAAAAAAGCTAAGTTATTCGAATGATTATCAGCAGGAATTCTTGAATATAAGGTGCAGCTTGCTTACCATCTCATGTACCAGTGTACACAGATGGATCAAAGACAGATGGACATGTATCTGCTGCAGTAGCGATTGATTCCAAACGTTTTGGCAAGAGTATCCCTGGACAAAGCTCAGTTTTGACAGCTGAAGCTTATGCTTTACTTTTAGCTCTATAACAAATAGAAAAGGAACAACAACGTCATTTTTTAATTTGCACAGATTCTATGTCCTGCATACAAGCACTTCAGCATCCTACAATTGTTAGCATACTAGAAAAAGTAGATTCTTTGAAGAAACAAAATTTTAACATTATTTTTTTGTTGGATACCTGGCCATATGGGATTGGTTGGCAATGAACAGGCAGATAAAGTGGCTTCAGTTGGAAATAACAATGTAATATCCCAGTATCTGATGTAAAATCTATATTGAATCTGTGCATTAATAATAAATGGCGAATGGAATGAATGCATACAACAAACTATATGAGGTGAATCCAGTAGTAAATGAAAAAAGTTATTACTGTTTTGAAAATACATATGACCAGGTTGATGTCGAATTGGACATTCATGACTCACTCATATTTAGTGAAAGGGGAAAAGAAAAATGTTTGTGACTTTAATAGAATGTCCAATTTTTAACATTTTTACTCAGAAAAGAATTTTAGTATGTTTATAAACTGAAAGATTCTATATGATTTTTATCAGTACTATTGTTGTTACTTGTATGTTATGTGCAGCATTAATGCCATATGCTCTGAACACACACGTGTGGAAATGTATTGAGTTATCACCATGTTTTGTAGTGATTAAAGTGATTTTTGTGTGTTTAACAGGCTTCAGAGGAGGCGTCGAAATGTCTGGTGGCGATGAAGGAGATCCTGTACGGCACTAACGACAAGGAGCCACACACAGAAACGGTGGCACAACTGGCCCAAGAGCTCTACAACAGCGGCCTGCTCATCTCACTGGTGGAAAACCTGCAGGTCATCGATTTTGAGGCGAGGATACTGCTTGTTCTCTTTTATTTATGATTGTAATAATTGGTATAATAACATTGTCTATGTGTGTTCACAGGGTAAAAAGGACGTTTGTCAGATCTTCAACAACATCCTGCGCAGGCAGATCGGGACCCGCAGCCCAACGGTGGAATATTTCTGCTCTCATCAGGAAGTTCTTTTCATCTTACTCAAAGGGTGAGAGATGATGGGTATTTTTGAAACGTAGCACATAATCATGTTGCTGGATCTAAAATCGAGATCAGAATTTCAAGCATGGAATAGATCCAAAATCATGAAGTTCTGTTTTCCTGAACATGGCTTCTGTTAAACATTAACGTGACATTTCTGCTGTGGTGCTGTGGCAGGTATGAGACCCCTCAGGTGGCATTGAATTGTGGGATTATGCTGCGTGAGTGCATCCGGCATGAACCTCTCGCCAAAATCGTCCTCCACTCTGAACACTTTAAAGATTTCTTCGGCTACGTGGAGATGTCCACAGGTAAATTGCTTTTTTTTTTTTTTTTTTTGCGCAGGACCTGCTCACAAGACACAAGGTTCTGGTGGCGGAATTTTTAGAACAGAACTATGATGCGGTAATATATACATTTTTTGGGGTTGTTTATTTTTATCATGGAATTCTGGAAAACTGACATTTTTAAATGGTTGTCACTGATCTTGCAGGTTTTTGATAACTATGAGAAACTGCTTCACTCTGAGAACTACGTGACCAAGAGACAGTCTTTGAAGGTGTGTGTTGTAACATCTGATTTTTGTCTTCTGGAGCCTGTCCTGTCATTAACATCACGTGTTTGTGTGTTATGTGACAGCTGCTGAGTGAACTGCTCCTGGACAGACACAATTTCACAGTCATGACACGGTACATCAGTAAACCAGAGAACCTGAAGCTCATGATGAACCTCCTGAGAGACAAGAGCCCCAACATTCAGTTTGAGGCTTTCCATGTCTTTAAGGTACACCTGACTTTTTCAGAAATTGTGGAACTTTTTTTTGACTACTTCACCTTGCATGAAAAACAGAGTCACACTGTCAAGCTCCAAAACGATAAAAGTACTATAAAAGTATCAAAATTGTGGTTTATATGGCTTTTGGATTATATTTTCAAATCTTATAAAGACCATATGTGACCTTGGACCACAAAACCAGTCATAATGGTCAATTTTTTGAAATTGAGATTTATATATCATCTGAAAGCTGAATAAATAAGCTTTCCATTGATGTATGGTTTGTTAGGATAGGACAATATTTAGCAGAGATTTGAACTGAACTCTGGCAGAACTATTTGACAATCTGGAATCTGAGGGTGAAAATCAAAATACTGAGAAAATCGCCTTTAAAGTTGTCCATATGAAGTTCTTAGCAATGCATATTACTAATCAAAAATTAAGTTTTGATATATTTACAGTAGGAAATTTACAAAATATCTTCATGGAACATGATCTTTGCTTAATATCCTAATGATTTTTGGCATAAAAGAAAAATCGATTTTTTTTTTTACCCATACAATGTATTTTTGGCTATTGCTACAAATATACCCCAGTGACTTGAGACTGGTTTTGTGGTCCAGGGTCACATATGATAGCACTGCATGAGAAACAGACTGAAATATAAGGAAATAAAAAATTAACATACTGAGGAAAACAATCTCTTAACTTCTGTTTCCTTTTTTTTTGTGCATTTCCTCAGGTGTTTGTAGCCAATCCAAATAAAACACAGCCCATCGTAGACATTCTATTGAAGAACCAAACGAAACTCATCGACTTCCTTAGCAACTTTCAGAAGGATCGCACGGACGACGAGCAGTTTAACGATGAAAAGACGTACCTCGTCAAACAAATACGAGACCTAAAGAAGCCAGCCTCCTAAACTTTAGCTACTGCAGTATTAGGAAAAAAATGTAAAAAACATATTAACAATAATAATTCTATTTAAAATCTTGAAAAATTTATTTTCTTAGTTCTGAGGCTTACAAAAGAAGGTTCCTGATCTTTGCTGTTCTCTGTTCTTATTTGCTTTTCATTTTCCTTTTATGTTTTATTTTATAGCGAACTCTCGTGCCATGATAGGATGTTTTAAAAGTAGCAATCAGCCAGTTTGCGTTACAGGAAAAACCGTCTTAAGAACATCAAGACACCTTGCGGATGAGGAAGTACAGGTAAACTTTCATTTTCCCGAGGCTGGACATTCTACGTTTTCCGTGGCATCAACAGCGCCACAACACGGCAGTTTTGCTCTGCTAGAAGAGATTGTGTTATTTGGATATTGCTGGAAAAGAGGTGAAATTCCCAAAAGATTAATTATGAGCTGTTGATTTTCTCTTGATGACTTGGTAACTGCACTAATCTTCATTCTTGCATTCCTCCTTTGTCAACGTTTCATGGCTTTTCTCTGGCATCAGCATCCGCTTTTATTTCATTAGCCCGTGCTTTATTCAGAACACTACAAACCTGATGATTTCCTCCCTGTTCGCTTTATTCTGTTTGTATTTTATAAGAATTATTTAGAAGGATGAATTCACTTATCAGTATTTTAATTGTTTATCTGAGCTGAAACAGAAGAGCATCTGTGGGTCTTCGTGTACATTCTGAGTTGCTGCCAGGCCGTTTTTCTGATCAGAAAGCATCACTATTTTGTTTTGCATATTTTTATTTGATGTTTACCTATGTTTAAAACAGACAAAAGCTGATTTTACTCTTAAGGCGGTTGCCATTTTAGAAGAATCTTGCTAAATCAACTTTGGCATTAAGTGAACCGTGTATATTCCAACTCGTAGATCAGTGAGGTATAGCTATAGTGCTGTGGTATTACTATTGTTTGCTCTATACTATAGTAACATTAGTGCTATAGTATTTGTTAACTTTAGTACATCATACTAAAGTACTTATACTGTAGTGCAGCTGTAGTATAATATTCATTTCTATACTATAGTATACCTTTTACTGCAGTATGTATTTTGTGCTATAACCCATCATTCATCTGTTTATGCTGATTTTGACAGAAGTAGATTGTTGCATAGCTGAAAAACAAGATGAAATGAGGACACAAATGTACAAACAGGTGCCTTTTGTTCGAGTTGTTAATTTACTCTTTTGCTCTTTTATTTGTGAAGACATTTTGGAAGGGGGAGCTTAATTTATTTTTTTTGTTTGTTTTTAATATGTTCTCATTGAGCATATTTAGCTTGATTAAGCAATGAACCTCTTTAACTCACTATATGAGTTATGCTGTTGAAGAAAATCCATTAAATTTCATTCTTTTTTCCCTCTACAGTTGATTGATTGTTTTATTACGATCGTCTTTAGGATTATAGGATGAAATATGCTTTGGTGGTTTACACCATCACTCACAGTGTGAAGCAAATCCATTTATACTCCAAGGCAACTATTTTCAAATTATTTTCATGAAGCCAAATTTATTAAATATATTTGTCAGCAGGTACATTGAAGTTGCCAAACCATGTTTTCAAAATTAATTTAAATTTTTCCTACTACATATTCAGGTGTAGTTTCCATATGAAATTCAACCAACTGAAGCGGTTTTTTTTTTTCAAAGAAAAAAAAAACATTGGGCATCGTATATACTGTACACTGTAAATTTAGAACTAATCTAAATGGTAATATATTTTGTGTGAACATGTAATGGACAGTTCTGCTTATCCCTTCAATTTTATACATTTAAAAACTGTTGTGTGCAATTTTAAAACCTTTCAACCCAAATCCCATTTCTAAAATGCATATAATTAAACTTTTAATAGGATGTACTGGTAAACTGATAAACAAAGCATAAAACATTTTCCCTCTTTTATGCTGTATTGTAATGATAAGGTAATGTTGATTCGAATCATGCTGCATGAGTATGGCAGGTTAAATAAAGTTCTTCACCAGGAACTGAAAGAGTCACATTTGAACATCATCTGTTGCTGTCATAATGGCAGGAGAGCAGCTTTCAAAATGACTTCTATGATCTCAGTCTCTTATTGCACTGAAAATGAGTTTCCTCTGCTTTTCGTTTCATGTAGCCATCTGCAAAAAAAATAAAATAATAATTCATAACGGGTGTACAGGGGTAGATGGCATGAAATACTTTTTGGGATGTTGTCCTGCAGTGTCACATGCTGTATTCCATCTAATTATATTATTCTTGCAGCTTTTATGAACTAAGACTTGAATATTTGAACATATAGTAAGTATATTTTAATATAATTTTAAAATTTCATTTGTCATTGCCTAGTACAGGACCATTTAAATCCAAGTATTACATTCAATGAGCTACTGAAGGAAAAATGGAGACAACATGGTGACCAGTCACAGTGACCTTACATTTTATACTTTCACTTATACATTTTAACCTAAAAAAACATAAATACCCACAAATCTGAACTACAACACTAATTAAAGACTTTACTAATGAAAAAAAGATTTTTGGTACTAATAAACAATGGGTTCAGAAAGGTAGATGCTTTTCCCCATCCAGTTACTGAGAAACTTTGATAATTTTTTTTTTTTATCGAGACAAAAACACTTACTTGCTGTGGGCGGAGCATCTTGTTCTGACATATGTCTAGCAGAAGATTTCTGTTGCCACTGAAAAAAATATTTTTTGAGTACATTTTCAAGTAAAGTTTATTTCTATAATATATATTATATATTTATATATATTAGTTTCATTTTTTTTAATCATAAATGTAAAAAAAACTGTTGTAATAAAGTATTTTCATTTAAGTTCATAATTTATCATCATCATAATTTAATGATTTACGGTGCACTTACAATGAATTTCTGGACGCCGTTGAGTTTGTCGAACCCGAGGTAGGAAATGTCGTGTTTGGCTTTGTTGCTGTCCAGGTCTGTGGTGTAGATCTGCTTTATTCCAGCGCAGCCTATCAGAGGAACACACTCATCACATGGGCATTTGGTCACAAACATCACTGTGTTCTCCTCCTCTTTTATCTCTGCGCTCCTGCAGATTTGAGGGAAACAAAAGGAGAAGGCGGGAAGCAGAATGAATTCATTTATTTGAACATTCGAATGGCCTGATATTCAGAGTTCTTTACAAACACAGTCAGTGCATATAAAATATTGCACATCTCCAGCGTGAACTGATGATCAGCTGTTGTTGTTGCCAAGTGTTGTTCTGACAGTTCCTTCCCATGAGTCTCACCTGAATGTGAGTGCGTTCTGCTCCGCATGGAGGATGTATCTGTACTTCCTGTATTGTATCTCCTCTTGCTTGTGATCCATCTGAGGATACTCTGCGTACTGTGAGCCCACTGGGTAGGCATTGTATCCACAGCCCACTAAGTAAAGCTGACCTGTGCCATCACATTGTGACTAGAGGTAGTTTAAGGAGAAAATAAGAGAGGTGTTTATTTAAAATACATTTATAAATTCATAAAGTAATTTGTTTTTCAAAAACTCAAAACTCATTTAATTGAGTTTTTGGCTCACCTGTTTGCCCTCAGCCCAAATAACTGCACCAACTCCCACTTTAGGATCCTCTACATAAAGACACAGCACACAAAAACTGAAAACATTTGAACTGCATCCTCAATTTAACTTGGCACCCTGACATCACCCTTCAGGAAATGATATAATTTTGGCAGGAAAACAACAGTATTAGCAATGGACTAGTTGGGCTGTGTCACTTTATAACATTCCATACTGTTAGATAAAGTACTCAGAATGATATTATCAAGATATCAAAATATGGATCTCAGATCTCAGAATTTGGCATCATTTACGAGACAATATTGACAGATTTTCCGGCTTTAAGAGTTTTCACCATTATACGGTAGGAGGCGCTATTACGCATCAATTAAAAAATTGCTAGCGGTGAAAAAGTTAAAAATATTCATATCAGCTTTCACCCTCAGGTAAGCTAATCATCAATCCCTCACTGAGCAATGACTAACTTTAGCACTTTATTTCCAACCTGTTGGTAATTGTGTAGCTATTTTGTAAATTCTCAAGTCGTATTTAAGTTTATGTCACAAAGTTTACGTTTACGTCACAAATTCAACCTACAAATGGCTTGAAGTTGGCATGAAATGAAAACTGACTTTATCTATTTAATAAATGCATCTTATTGATCTTACTGTCAACTATTCATCCATGTATGTTTTTTTTTTTTTTTTTTTTACATTTTTTAAGCTCACAATTTAATCAAAAAGTCTAAACTTTCCATTGAAACAACACTTCTCTCTGGTGATATAAGCTAGACTTCTTCAATCATTCAAGCTGCTTAAATCCCGTCCTGTCTTACAGTTGACTGCAAGCTTGCATTCAGATCTGCCTCCATCCAATCAACACCTGATGGACAGAAAAGAAGTCCTGCTCTACATTTCTTTTTTTCTTTTGTCAATGACACTCCGGTGGTTACGTACATAACCTCGGTTCCATGAGATAAGGGAACGAGCGTTGCATTACACGCTATGGGGTAAAATCTGAGCACCATTTTGTCAGAATCTTTTGACTGATAGCGACAGTCATTGACTCGCGTGCAGCCTTATAGCATGCCAGCTTACGCAACACTCGTTCCCTTATCTCAGGGAACTGAGGTTATATAAGTAACCGAGATGTTCCCTTTCGAATGGTCTCTCCCGTTCCGTTACACGCTATGGGAAATGCATCCAATAGTGCCGTGCTATAAGCAAGTGCAGAATGAAGCCACTCTGTGAACCCAGCCCTGGAGCGCCCGTACTGTGGGCTCCTGTAAGCATGAGCTAATAACGAGACCCAAATTATAAGCAGACAGAATCCGTACCTGCAGGGCAGGCACCTCCAAATTATAAAACCTGGTGAGGGTAGATGGTGATGACAAGGCGGCAGCCGCAAAGATATCACCAATAGACACCCCGCTGAAATAAGCCCAGAAGGAGGCCATTCCTCTGGTGGAGTGGGCCCTCACCCCTATAGGAGGGCCTGTTAAAGCATATGCCAAGGCTATAGCATTTACAGTGACCTCAGAAGCACACAAAGAGCTGCTCTGAGTGCCGAAACGGGCCAGAGCACTCAACTTACACTCTAAGGTTGATGATACACAGGGCAACTTTTTGAGCAATGTTGCTGGGCAACTTTGGCCAATGTTGCAGTCAACGGGCAACCAGGTGAGACACAGGGCCCACAACCGATCTAAAGTATCCAGATAGCAATTTGTTACACATCCTCAATAAGATAAGTGCCCAACCAACATTGCTCAAAAAAAGTTGCCCAGAAAAATTGCTCAAAAAGTTGCTCCATGTATCATCAGCCTAAGAATGGATTGGGACCCTGCTCTTCCTCAGAATTGGGAAGAGCTAGAAAGGTGATGACTTGTGCTCTGAACAAAGTGGAGAGCACTTTAGGCACGTAGCCGTGTCTTGGTTCGAGGACAATTTTACAGTTGTTAGGCCTAAACTCAAGGTATGAAGCACTGACTGACAGTGCTTGCAGGTCACGCACTCGCTTGACCATCGCTGAAGCCAGAAGGAGGGCGGTCTTAAGCGTCAGGGGCCACAAATCAGCTGACTGTAGTGGCTCGAAGGGAGGGCACAGTAGGGCCCTGAGGACTATAGTTAAGTCTCAGGTCGGCACAGAATGAGGACGAGGCAGATTCAATCTCCGAGCTCCCCTCAGAAACTTAACGACAAGGTTGATTCCGCCGACTGACTGGCCAGCCACGACCGCATGATTCGCTGCGATGGCTGTCACATATACTTTGAGCATGGAAGTGGTGTGCCCCTTGTCCAGCAGCTCTTGTAGAAAGGTTAGCACGTAGGACACATCACAAGAGAATGGCTCCTCGTTCCATGCTGCACACCAGTCAGAAAAGACATGACCATTTAAGAGCATAGAGACGTCTCGTAGACAGGCCTCTAGCCTCCAAAATGGTATAAGTTACACATGTGGGGAGTTGTTAAGACTCCCGTCGAGGGGCCAACCATGAATGCTCCACAGCTCTGACCAACCTGTGAATACTGTGGGCTCCTGTAAGCATGAGCTAATAACGAGACCCAAATTATAAGCAGACAGAATCCGTACCTGCAGGGCAGGCACCTCCAAATTATAAAACCTGGTGAGGGTAGATGGTGATGACAAGGCGGCAGCCGCAAAGATATCACCAATAGACACCCCGCTGAAATAAGCCCAGAAGGAGGCCATTCCTCTGGTGGAGTGGGCCCTCACCCCTATAGGAGGGCCTGTTAAAGCATATGCCAAGGCTATAGCATTTACAGTGACCTCAGAAGCACACAAAGAGCTGCTCTGAGTGCCGAAACGGGCCAGAGCACTCAACTTACACTCTAAGGTTGATGATACACAGGGCAACTTTTTGAGCAATGTTGCTGGGCAACTTTGGCCAATGTTGCAGTCAACGGGCAACCAGGTGAGACACAGGGCCCACAACCGATCTAAAGTATCCAGATAGCAATTTGTTACACATCCTCAATAAGATAAGTGCCCAAGCAACATTGCTCAAAAAAAGTTGCCCAGAAAAATTGCTCAAAAAGTTGCTCCATGTATCATCAGCCTAAGAATGGATTGGGACCCTGCTCTTCCTCAGAATTGGGAAGAGCTAGAAAGGTGATGACTTGTGCTCTGAACAAAGTGGAGAGCACTTTAGGCACGTAGCCGTGTCTTGGTTCGAGGACAATTTTACAGTTGTTAGGCCTAAACTCAAGGTATGAAGCACTGACTGACAGTGCTTGCAGGTCACGCACTCGCTTGACCATCGCTGAAGCCAGAAGGAGGGCGGTCTTAAGCGTCAGGGGCCACAAATCAGCTGACTGTAGTGGCTCGAAGGGAGGGCACAGTAGGGCCCTGAGGACTATAGTTAAGTCTCAGGTCGGCACAGAATGAGGACGAGGCAGATTCAATCTCCGAGCTCCCCTCAGAAACTTAACGACAAGGTTGATTCCGCCGACTGACTGGCCAGCCACGACCGCATGATTCGCTGCGATGGCTGTCACATATACTTTGAGCATGGAAGTGGTGTGCCCCTTGTCCAGCAGCTCTTGTAGAAAGGTTAGCACGTAGGACACATCACAAGAGAATGGCTCCTCGTTCCATGCTGCACACCAGTCAGAAAAGACATGACCATTTAAGAGCATAGAGACGTCTCGTAGACAGGCCTCTAGCCTCCAAAATGGTATAAGTTACACATGTGGGGAGTTGTTAAGACTCCCGTCGAGGGGCCAACCATGAATGCTCCACAGCTCTGACCAACCTGTGAAGGGAGCATGACCTGAGACCGCCTTGGTGATTTATAAAGGCTACCAGCATCAGATGCCTGAGCTCGAGAATGGGCCTGAGCCCACCATCTTTCTTGGGAACAAGGAAGTAACGGCTGTAAAAGCCCAACTTGCTGTTCACTAGAGGAACAATTTCCACGGCTCCTTTTGCAAGCAGTGTTTGCACTTCAGACTGGAGACAGTGAGCATCGTTGTCCCGTACCGTACCTCTGAAGTGAGGTGGCCTGCGAGTGAACTGGAACAAGTACGGGTTTTTTTAACCCAACTTGACACATCCGAGATGGCTTTCCAGGCCTGGAGCCAGACAGCAAGTGGTCTGAGTTTTTCGAGTGACAGTTTGCTGCACGGGGGCGGGGAACTGACATTGGTGGTACTGAGAAGAGGAGAAATTCTCTTTTGAGTATGTGGGTCTGCTGTCACAATGGTATATTGCTTGGGTGCGCACTGAATGAGAAAGGCAGGCCCAGCCTGAATGGAGCTTAAATCGCTCAGAGTTAAGCGGAGGGATAGAGAGCGAGCATGAGACTTCTTTGAGGGAGTTCCGGCCTCGGTGAGAACTCATCCTCTCATCTTCCTCTCTGTGTTGGGATCAGGATGGCTTCTGAGTCTCAGAGCCTAGAGCCAAGTCAGTTGCTTTCAGCAGCTCTCTAAAGGCATCAGAATTCTCGTCCATGGTGCGGAGAAGTTTGGCCTGAAACACTTGGAGCACCGCCATCGAGTGAAGCGCTGAACCAGCCTGGCCAGCCACTGAATAAGCCCCGTTTGCTAGGGCTGAGGTAGTCCTGCAGGGCTTAGATGGGTGCTCTGCATGGGCGACCGCCTCTTCGAGAGGGAGGAGCTTGCCATAACCTTGTTCTTCAGCGCAGTCAACAGCAGTGAGAGCGGCAGAAGCGGAGGGATTAACACGCACAGAGTAGGGGGCACACCATGTCCTGGTGAGCTCTTTGTGAACTTCTGGGAAGAACGGGGTGGGCCACTGGTGGGAGGATTGTTGACAGCGTCCCTTCAGGTACCACTCATCTAAAAGGCCGCAGCGGGCTCTTCCAGAGCCAACCAGGCTAGGCCGAGATCCTCCACAGCCTTGGTGAGAACACGGATCAGCTCGCTGTCCACACTAGGCCGTGTTGTTTGTGTCGGAGGGAGGGTGTCAAGATCTTCGCCGGAACATGCCCACTCCTCTGCATCTGAAGCTGTCAATAACATCAAGTCATCTGCGACAACTTCCTCCTCAGACCCGCCGAAGCAAATCAAGCCGCTTGCTGCCAATAAGGGGTGCTGAGACTCATGTGTGAAGCACACAGGCGAGTCGAGGCATTGTGGGGAGAGTGAAGCACATGGGACCTGTGCCAGCGCGAGTTTACTCTATGTTTGAGCCCCGCTGCTTCTTCCTCCTAGGCTCTATGGAGGGAAGAAATGGGAGAGCAGGCCGGGGAGGACCACCTTCATAGAAGAAGGTGATCCACGAGCGGAGAAGGATGAGACTCGTGCTCTCGCAGTGAGAGCAATCCGTCCCGGTGAGCACAGCCTCTGCATGGGTGCTGCCCAAACAGGTGACGCACTCCCCATACCCATCTGCGTCATGCAGGGGGTCCCTGCAAGAGCCACACTCACGATGCAACATTTGTAACAACTTCGCTGAGAAATTTGCTCAGAAATTTGCTCTAATAGATGCCGGATGGCCGCAGGGGAAAGCATCTAGCGAACTTCCGCTGCCAGGGCTTCTTTTCACGGCAGCGAACAGCAGGCTGAGCTTCTTGCTTCAGCTTCTGCTGCTTCTTCAGAGTCCAGCAAGAAGATTGCTGAAGGAGAAAAATTCTGACGAAATGGTATTCAGAGCCGACTTATATAGCAATCAGCTCCACCCCTTTTGATGGGTTGAAGTGCCATTGGTTCGTGCAGTTACACAACGTGAACAAATCAGGCTTCAGTATCAGTGTAAACAGGAGTTTACCCCCATAACATGTAATGCAACGGGAGAGACCGTTTTACTAAGATGTACATCATAATATAGAAAACAAGATCTGTTGTTCCTTCTGTTACCTTGTGATTTTAATTTACCTTTAACTAAATCAGACCTGATGCTTCTGATTTCTGCCAACTGTTTAACATTTTTAGGGACACTAGATTCATGTGGTCACTTTCTGCCATCATATTTAGATTCTTGATTTTTGTATTTTTGATATCAGCTGAACATTTTGATGTCAATTAATCAAAAAAGTGAAAAATTCAACAGAATTCACCTGTTCTACATGCCAGTAATCGGGCCTGTATGATACAGTGTCGCACCACATCCTGAGGTAAAGCTGGAGAACCCATCCCTAAAGGCTCTCTCATGAAGAAACCATAATTTTCTTCTAGAACTGGAACACTTGCTGCGGCAGATGCCAGAATCGTAATGAGATTCCTCATATGCTGCCTTAAGTTACTAAAATTTGGTTCCGCACAAAAGTTCTCCAGTCCCATCTTGTTTAGCACATACTTATGCTGTTCCTCGTCATTTATAAAGAACTTTTTTAATAAATCATCCAAGTTGTTCCACCATTCCCTTCTAAAGAGATCCTTAACATTGAGAGTAGGATTGTCCGCAGCAATCTTCCCAAGGAAGTCACAGTTTTGAGACCTTTCGTCCACAAACTGCTGCATGGTGCAGGCCAGAGGCTGCAGGAGCACACAGATGTGGGGTCTGCTGTTAGACTTCAGTCTCTCTGCAGCTGTTGCATCTAAGATGGCTTCCTGGTGACTGGAGTCAGTATGATCATGTCTACCTGACAGCAAACTGATCTCAGCATCACCAGGCCAGTATGATATCCTGCTCACACCAGCTGAATAAAGAAGAGGAGAGAGAGGGTAGCAACAAGGGGTAAGATAGGCAGTCAAATATAAATGTTAAAAATGTATAAAATAAATTAAATATAAGATTATTTTAAATGTAATATTATATGCATAACTTTTTTTTAATTATTTGAAATATAGTTATACAGTGCAGGTATGATCTTACCATTGATGAGCATCTTGAGGCAGGTTGAACAGGGTTTTCTGGAGAAGTAAAGATCACATCCCTTCAGTCTGGGGCCATGTTTGACCACAGCCACCTGTCCTGCATGTAACTGCGCACTGGAACAATGCAGACCCAGAACCATGCGCTCATGGACCACTACAAGACCAGTGTCCCCAGCCTGGATGCAAATATGATACCTTTAATTATTTATATATCCATACAGCCTATGAGTCAAAGGATGTAGCAGCCTTTCCAGTTCATACACACTACAAGTTCATTAGAATCTCATTTAGAGCACACAAGTCATTATACGTACAACAGGGACTCATGTGGGAAACTGTTTTCTCCATAAATAAATAAAAATCAGACATTTTACACTGGTAGATACTATTTGTAATGTTTTTTTTCTTAATATCATCTCATTTGCATTTAAGCTCAATGTCTTTGAAACACACAGGATTGCTTTAGAGGAAATTAAAATATGCCTACAGCATCATTCTCTTGTTGCTGTGGTTCTTTCTTTGGGAAAAGTTCCATCCAAAGACTCAACAATGTGAAGAGGTTGGCTTTGGACAGTCGAGGTCCATGACCTGAAACAAAAAAATAGGACAATTGTGAACAGACTACTGAAAAGAAGAAAACATTTGCTTAACTGCTAAAAATCACATTTTCAGTGTTATGAAAGGGACGTGCAAAGCAATAAAGATAAACCGATTACTGATTAGACCATGGTGTTTAATGTGTTCGATTTTTAACTTGGCTCAAATCAAAGCTATAAATACATTTTTCAATTCTTAATTTTTAAAATCTTGTTTGTTTGTTTTTTCACTTTTTGACATAAGTACTAAAGTAATAATAAAACATACACAATGATTATTTTATAGTATTATTATTAATTTTACTATTATTATTAATAGTAGCAATCATGCCATTATATTTATGAAAAAAGGAAAGAAAAAGACTGAGATTAAGGTTAAGATTTAGTGGAAAATTTATAGATCAAGGTTAAGATTTAGTGGGAAAAATTATAATTTTATCTATAATAGGTTATAATAATATTTCTAAAAATGTATTATAATTGTAATTAATTATTATTATTAAAAATTTGAAATATTCTCTATGCTTTTCTTATTGATTTAGTTTATTGGGGTGATTTTTTTTTGTCATTTCGTCAAAATAAAATCGGTTCTGCATATCGGGATTCGGTTATTGCAACACTTAAAATAATCTGCATTATATCTATTGTACAAAAGCAATATTGATCAGTCTCTATAAGGAAATGGTTAGTATAAAATCTGATCAGATTTCTAATTAGAACATAATACCTCTTAAAATATAGTTGCTGACAGACAGACATAAAATAAGAATATAAATAAAATGTATAAATGACTGCTAATAAATGTTTTAATGACAAAAAAATAAAGAGCATCTTGAATGAAAAACTGAAACGGCTCTGAAGAAAAGAAGCGCCTTTGGCAAAACACTGTAAAGTTGGGCCATCCACTGGAGTCTGTTTACCATAAGGAGACACTGACAGGATAATCTAACCTTGTACATCCGTCTGTACTCCGGTATCCCTCACATTGCGCACTTCCTCGCCGTTTGGAATTGATCGGTTTCCCTCGAAATCCCGGTGAGACCGCCGACTGTCGGATGCTGCCATTCAACCGCGCTCAACATTGACCTGTCATCGACTAACAGCTCAGAACAACAACAGCCCGTCCACCTTCATGCAGTCCTCTTCCTATTTGCGCTGACGTCACCAGTAGGCGGGTCATCTGTTCTTAAAGGCTCGCCTGTTTCTATTCCCTAGAAATCTGATTTATAGCATACAGTACAAATATTATTTACACAGCATACCAAAAGTATGTGGAGACCCAAACACCACACCCAGAACTGCCCAATGGATATAGAACTTAACAACCATTGCATTAACAGTTGGTCTTCTCTAGCAGCTTGCAACCTTCTACAAGATACTGGACCATGGATGCAGGGATTTGCTCTCATTCAGTCAAAAGAACCTCAGTGATGCTGGAGATGGTCTGACTCACCAAAATCTTCAGTGGGGTTCAGATCTGGGCAGGCCAGTCAAATTCTTCCACACAGACTCATTAATCTTTGACTGATGCCATATATAGCTGCTCGCATCTCAGCATGTCTAACAGACAGTTCTTGTTGGATGACCTCACCTTCAACTCAACCTGGCTAAGACAGAACTGCTTGTGGTTTCAACAAACCCATCACTTTATCAAAATGTCACCATCCAGTTAGGGTCATCAACCATAACTCCTTCAAAGACAGCTAGAAACCTTGGAGTTGGGATTGATGATAAGCTGAATTTCTCAGACCACATTGCTAAAACTGCCTGGTCCTGCAGATTTGCTTTATACAACATTAGGAAGATCAGGCCCTTTCTTTCAGAACATGCAACACAACTCCTTGTTCAAGCTCTTGTTCTGTCCAGGCTGGACTATTGCAATGCTCTCTTGGCAGGTCTTCCAGCCACTTCTATCAAACCTCTACAATTAATCCAAAATGCCGCTGCAAGATTAATCTTTAATGAGCCGAAAAGAACGCATGTCACACCTCTGTTCATCAATTTGCACTGGCTACCAGTAGCTGCTCGCATTAAATTCAAGGCATTAATGTTTGCTTACAAAACCGCCACTGACTCTGCACCCATTTACCTAAATTCTTTACTTCAGAGTTATGTGCCCTCTAGAAGCTTGCATTCTGCAAGTGAACAACGCATTATTATCTCAAAGAGGCACAAAATCACTTTCACAGACTTTTTCACTAAATGTTCCCTCCTGGTGGAATGATCTGCCCAAATCAATCCGAGCAGCTGAGTCCTTAACCATCTTCAAGAAACGACTAAAAACACATCTGTTCCACCTTTATTTGACCCTCTAACTCTAGCACTTTCTATTCTATTTTATCTATATTTAGCTTTTATTTTTTATTTAAAAAAAAACAAAAAACAAAAACTAGTTTTCTATTTTTTCTATTCTACTTGTTTTTCTTTCTTTGTGTGTGTATAATATATATATACAGTGGGTACGGAAAGTATTCAGACAAATATATGAGTGTCACAGCAAAGGGTCTGAATACTTAGGACCATGTGATATTTCAGTTTTTCTTTTTTAATAAATCTGCAAAAATGTCAACAATTCTGTGTTTTTCTGTCAATATGGGGTGCTGTGTGTACATTAATGAGGAAAAAAAATTAACTTAAATTATTTTAGCAAATGGCTGCAATATAACAAAGAGTGAAAAATTGAAGGGGGTCTGAATACTTTCCGTACCCACTGTATATATATATACACCTTGCTATGTGTACTGTGTTAGGCTAACCGAGACTTGTCATTTGCACTTATATATTGTTGCTCTTTTGTTAGTTTTGACTGCTTTTATTGTCCTCATTTGTAAGTTGCTTTGGATAAAAGCGTCTGCTAAATGACTAAATGTAAATGTAAATATAGCAGTGGCAGACTGAGTCACTGACTGTACAATCTCTTCTATTACAAAATATGATTTTACACACCAGCTAATGGGCGTAGCTGAAATAGCCAAACCTGTGAATTAAGTTGGTGTGTCTACATCATTTCTGGACATTTACTAATTTCATAGAATGACTTCACAATCACAGCTGCCTTCTTTACCTGAAACAAGGATTTAACCATTCTGATAATTAATCGTGGTTTCATTTAATGAGAAATCAAACTACAGGATGACATTCAGGAACTTTAATTAGTCACATTTATAAACAAATTAATGCTATTGCTGAAATGAATAATTAATAAAATTATTAAAAGACGTAAAATTAATTAACTAAAATAATTACATTCACTTTATAATTTTATTAAATAATTTTAAATAAAGGCATAATAAAATCTGATTCATGTGTTATGAAGTTAAACCCTACTATTTCCATATCACATGTTTTACAGTCTAAATAGATACATCTACAAAAAATAAATATGCTGGCATGTTGGTATACATAATTAAAAAAATACCCAATGCAACTTATAACAAAAGCTTTATTTATCTTTATAGTATCAGGTTTTATAACTTACAAGAGAAACTGTGGCACACATAATGTGCACAGATTAATTTACAAAACTAATGCAAAAACTGTACAGTATATACATGTGAAAAACAAATACAGTTGGTTAATATGTAACAAAAAACATCTTACCATAGGCATTAGCATTATGAAGTGTTTCACACCTTTAAAAAGGTGCAACTGTAAAGATTCATATACAGCCTCTAGTGATCTTACATGAGCAGCTCCTGTACAGGAAACTACTAGTGCAACTATGAATAATACTCTTTATATTTGAGCAAACTTAAACATCAGACTGGTCAAGTGCAACAGTCATTGTTGTACATGCTGCTTTAGTAATTCACAGTGGCAGCACATACTGAACTAAGCGATAGCAGACAGTGGTCTTCCTAATCTGAATGGAAAAAATGCCTACGTTTTAAGACTCAAATCAAGCCAAAACAAAAACATCACATAGCAGAAATTATTTTGGTCAATAACATTAAGACAAAAATGAGTCAACAACATAAGGGGCCACGTCAATAAGGTCTGCTGACTGTATCTGATATAATGCACATTTACAGCCCAGCCAATAGAATACAATAACAACGAGCAACTTGTAATGCACTGCATCACTGCAAGAAAGAAATCTGATTAGTGACCTCTATTCAATATTACCTGTGCAAAAACCTATAAGGGACAAACAAAAACAATGAACTAGTTTCTTTGTCAACTTTTTAGTGGTGCATGTTTAAGTAATACAATTAAATGATGCCTCTGTTTAGCCCAAACCCACTCCCATTTTATTATAGTGTGCAAACACCCTTCCCATCTGCAGCACTAGAAATTATCATTAGCACTAGGCAATGTCTTTTCCAAAAAGTTGTGTAAAACATAAATGGGAATGTCCCGTCTGGCTGAATATCTTCGGTAACAGATGAGTACGAAATGGTTGTAGATGAGACTAACACAGACATTGACCCTTCTACATGAATCTTATCCATTATGAAAGTTCCACTCCTGCACAACAGGGGGCGCTGTGCGTTAATGACTGTCTGGTGTCACAGCGCCCACTAGCTGTGAGGAGGACTGATGGGTTCCTTGACTAACACACTGAGCGTACGTGTATCTGGTGGCTATCGGAGTCAGTTTTTGAAGGCTCCACAGTGGCCGGCTCTGGAGATAAACTCCTTCAGCATGTTGCCGTCGATCTGCCAGAATGCAGCTGTCTGCGTGACCTCAGTCAAGTGGTTCACACAGAATTTAAAACAGAACTCCTCTAGATCCTTCACATGAAAGAAAGCATGAATGTGCAATTATGAGTGACTGAACAAGCGAGCAAGAACAATCAACATTACCATCCATGATTAGCATTACAAGCTTACAATACTGAGTTTCTGTATTACCTTTCAAAAGGATTTTACTTGATTAATTGCAAAGAGCAAACAAACAAAATGAGACAGAAAAGAGCTAACAGGTAAAACAGGTGTCTGCTTAAGTGCTCTGGCAAGCCAGGCCTCCAGCGTGGTTTAGTGTTACCTCAGCATCATATCTGATGGCAGCAGACAGCAGAGAGAACCCGTTCTCCACCGTGATTCCTCTCTTTATGATATGCTGGCACAACTTCTTCAGCCTGTTTTCACAGTATGAGGTTGCCAGATCCAGTAACCCTGTGAGAGACATCCAAATCCATTCATTTTTTGATGGGTACAAAAAATTTTCCAACCATCCTGAATTTTCTTTGGTTTTATAACATTCTTTGTAAATACATGGTTAACATGTATACAAATAACACAGACATTAAACATATAAAATAACACAGAAGCATACAATACTAAATTTGGTTATTAACATTTTTAAACAACAACAGAGCATTATTGATTTACTGCTATTATTGTTATTGTAAAAAAATTATTATATTAATGTAAATAACAATAATAATAAACAACAACTGAGCATTATTGATTTACTGCTATTATTGTTATTGTAAATAATAATTATATTAATGTAAACAATAATAATAATAACGTATCATTACTGGTGTATTATTGTTATTGTAAAAATGTTACTTGGAAAAAAAATTATTATTATTATTATTATTATTATTATTATCAATGTATTGTTATTGTTGTAAATAAAATTAATTATATTAGTGTAAATAATAACTAACCATTACTGGTGTATTATTATTGTTGTTAATGTAAATAACTATTATATTGTTAATAATAACAACAACAAATTATTACTGATGTATTATTGTTAACATTGCTGTTGTAATAATTATATTATTGTAAATAACAACAGTAATAATAATGATTCATATATTATTATTATTACGAATAATAAGAATCAATCATATTTTACTTTATAGATTATTTTAGAGACGTATAGGCCAAAAAACAGTGTGAATGGAAAGTGAACTGCAACCTGGCAACACAAATGAGATAGGAGTCCACTTTAAGGCTAGGTAAGAGTAATAGGTTTTTTCTACTTGGTGTAGTTTCGGTCCATTTTAAATAAGAAAATGGTTTCTTATACTCAGCTATAAGTTTGCTGGAATATTTTTCTGTAAAACCAAGTCCTAAAATGAACGCACCAATGGCATCCTCAGGAGGAAGATCCACACTGTCGGTGTAGAGGAACTCCAGGAAAGAGCGGTACACCGGGTACGAGAACTGGTCAATCTCAATCACTTCCTTCATATCCTCATTCCAGTGTGACTGAAACATTGATCTGAAGTGCTCACACCTGAAATCAGGAGACAGAAATGGGATAAAAGAGAATAAAGTTGTAATTATCAGTAACTAAGTGAGAACTTTAATGCAACAATTATTAATCATGAAACTGGAGTGAGGACATCACCTGATTTTGAGAACAGCTTTATGGACATGGATGTACTTCCCGTCGATGCTAAATTTGAGGTCAGAGGTCTCAGGGTTGTCAAACTCTTTTTGAAGGGACTGGGCCACGGTCAGGAAGTCATCATGCTCTGATAGCAAATACAGCACAGTTATGTAACAGCAGTGACTCCATCAATTTCTGCAGAATCTGTTTCAATTGCGTATTAAATAACGCATTAATGCGCATTAAATAACAGCAGCATGAAATACTGTAACTGCATTAAGATTCAAACAACAGAGCAGCTAAAGAGAACTAAGCATCAGAACAATGATGGATGACAACTCAAACTCACCCATGGAAAGCATCCGCCACATCACAGACGGCGTGGCGAAGCAGGTGAAGACATCGTCTGTGCTGGCTAAGTGCGTGAGGTGTGGCAGCACGATGGGCTGTCCGCGGCACTGCCCCCACATGAACACCTGACCGCTCTGGGTCTTTGCTGCAGAGGTGTGTGTGGAGTGACAGGCGGCGATCTCCACAATCCTGGTGGAGGGAAGAGGCGGAGTCAAAAGAGCAGGAAGACATGGAGGAGGCCAAGGTGGAGGAGAGCAGGGACATGAGGCAGGATACACGCAGAAGGAGAGGGCACAAATGGGAAAGGACCAAGGGTACATCAGTCAGGTCCTTATATAAGTATTATTCTCCCTGCATTAGAGATTACTGGGTTGTTTTTTCAGTTATGCATTTCCTCACATCTTTAAACCAATCTAATATTAGCAGAGATAACTGTAGTGACCTATAGAGTCAGTACAAGAGAGCTACTCTTCAAACTACACCCAAAACAGGATGACTTACACAGGAAGCTCCCGTTAGACCAACAGGAAATCTCCCTGGGTTGCAACAATTCACACTAACAATGACAAACCCACACTGACAAAATGCAAACGTCAACATCATGCACTCCTTATTTTGAGCCGCCAACCTAGACAGCATCATTTTATGGAATGCTTTTGACACAAAGGCTGTTTCAAGCAGTGGGGATTTTGGCCATATTCTAGGGCAGAATCTCATAAAGTGTTCGTAAGGAATCAGTGTGGGGGGGGAACACAAAATGACAGAATCAGGAAAATTGTTGATTACAAATATCTTTCAGACAATATGCTATTTTAGAAAATGACTATTTTACTCAATATTTTGAGTGGTATGTATTTTTTGTGCTTAAGAGTATCACATTGTTTGCTTGATTTCAAGATTTCAAATTTGATTTCAAAAGAGTTTGGCATTAGCATGTTGAAGGTTAGGACTCTATACATATAAAAAGGCAGTTCAGTGGCTTTTGGAACACTGTTATTTAAGTATTATTTATATACTATTGTAGTATTAATTAATATTTTGAATTAGTTTTTATTTTTATATGTTCAGTTTTCTTTTTAATTATTATTTAGCTTTATTTTATTTTATTTCCGTTTTAGCAATTTTGATACTTCAAATTAAACTTACTTTATTTCAGTTATTTGCCAAGGCAACAATTATTAATTTTTTTCATCTAAAATTTATATTTTATATCAGCTTTATTTCAATGAATGAAAACTATTTTTAATAATTTCAGTTAACAATAACACCTTTTAGAATGGAGTCAGTGAATGAAAAAGGAAAAGACTTATTCCCAAACCCCCTTACCTTTCTTTCTCAGCCATGACCTGTACAGGGCTGAGCTGGTTGCTCTTGTTGCCGGTGCCCAGCTGGCCGTAAGTGTTGGCCCCCCATGCATACAGTAGGCCCTCATCGGTCAGTGCTAGAGAATGAGCGTAACCTGATGCAATCTGTTAAAAAGTGACACAGTGACATGTTTTACTATTTTTCCACCCATTTACATTTTTAAAAAATCGATATGGTCAAATGAGTTATGTGGAAAAATTATTTTCATTCAAACAATAATCTTACTGACCTCAATCATTTGAACGATAGTATATATTACCATATTATTACATGTACAACTAATAATCTAAGAACATGGCAGATCTTCTGTTTCGTACCTGCACCACACAGAAGCCTTGTAGCGCAATCAAACGGCACGGTGTCAGCTGGTTCCCATTGTTGCCTAACCCTAGCTGGCCGTTACCATTGTAACCCCAGCCATAAACCTGAAATGCACACACATTTCACCACTAACAAACAAGCAACACAGCTACAGTGAGAAATACAGCAAGACACCACACAAGCTCTAAATAGTCACTAGTCAACACAATATTTTACAAAGCACGTTGCATATTTCCATAAACAGGAAGGTTATAAATGGTTAATTTAATCCCTTACCTCGCCATTATCCGCCACAGCCATGGATGAAGTCTGTCCACAGGCTATACTGACCATCACTTTGCTCTGCAGACAGTTGGACACCTTGCGGGGTGTGGGCTGGTTGGCGGTGGACCCTGAACCCACCTGACCACAGTTGTTGTAGCCCCACGCAAACACCTAGGACGACATACAATTAGCGGCCAAGTTAATTAGCAGGGACGTTAAGCTAAAAATATTCCTTTATAAAAACACACGGCAGCCAATGTTTTTGTGTGAGCTACAGCTAGAACTTTTAATGAAGCGGAATATTAATTATTACCACAGACAAACACAGAGTGTTACACCCGAGCTGATCTTAGTAGTCACAGTGAGAACAAAAGCCCTCACAGCTTAGCAAAAAAGGTCACATGCTCCTTATTACAACGAGCACATCGAGGCTAAGCAGATAACTATACTTGCTAAACAGATGAGGAAAGAGAGGAGGGTTTTGTCAAACCTAAATCCACCTAATACCCTTTAAAATGTAACCTACATATTTAACCCACTACTGAAGTGTTTCTAAAGAGACTGATAAAAGCGAAATTGTTACATGCAAAAGAACGGGAAAGATTTTGTTTGGATTATGGGATTAGCATGTGACACGGAGCAATTTTAACAGAATTTTCTATATTCTGAAACTATTTGATTAGTCCATGCCATCAGATTCACAGTATGTCATTAGTTTAACCCTAATTAATGGACATATCTGTGCACCAATAGGTTGATCTTGGCATTTTAACCAATAGGCAGTGTTTTAAATCAACCACAATGGAAAAAATTAGACTTAAAAATACCTCCACGTGAGAAACACAGCTGAATCAGTCTGTGGTCCACTAAAGCCTCTAACTCTCTTACCCCAAATAAAAGAGTACATCTCAGAGAAATACTTCTTTAACAGAGACATTCTGGGATAAACACAACTTATTATGCGGTCCTTTTTTGTCTGTCTTATCATAAAGCAAATTCGCCAACAGTGGCATTGCTAGTCTAGCATATGTTCTACCTTTCATATGTTCTGCTGTTTTTAATCAATTTGAACTGGTTTCTATTCCTTTTTGGGGCAAGGCTGGATTATTTCTAAATGTAATAATAAAATGTGACACATATTAATGCAACTCATCTGTGATTTTTCAATTGTATTGTTGAGAGAAAACTAATCAATATTTGGTTAAATGTCCAATCTCTTATGTATGGAAGCCCATTTCCACCACAAATGAAAAATAATTATCATTTACCAAAACATGATTTGGAATAATTATTACAAACATTTATGAGAAACTAAGTCATGTTTATGAGATAAAAGGTCAAATTTATGAGAAATGCCGAAATGTTATGTCAAATGCATAAACGTTAATGAATGCGTTCATGACCTCAAGGTTAGATTATTGTAATGCTTTATTGGGTGGTTGTTCTGCACGCTTAATAAAAAAAATCCAGCTGGTCCAAAATGCAGCAGCTAGAGTTGTTACTAGAACCAGGAAGTACAACCATATTAGCCCGGTTCTGTCAACTCTGAACTGGCTCACTATTGAACATCTTATACATTTTAAAAATCTCGCTAATTACTTACAAAGCCCTGAATGGTTTAGCTCCTCAGTACTTGAGCAAGCTCATATCGCATTATAGTCCTTCACGTCCGCTGCGATCTCAAAAATCTGGCCATTTGATAATACCTAGTCCTTATTTTGAGCCGCCAACCTAGACAGCATCATTTTATGGAATGCTTTTGACACAAAGGCTGTTTCAAGCAGTGGGGATTTTGGCCATATTCTAGGGCAGAATCTCATAAAGTGTTCGTAAGGAATCAGTGTGGGGGGGGAACACAAAATGACAGAATCAGGAAAATTGTTGATTACAAATATCTTTCAGACAATATGCTATTTTAGAAAATGACTATTTTACTCAATATTTTGAGTGGTATGTATTTTTTGTGCTTAAGAGTATCACATTGTTTGCTTGATTTCAAGATTTCAAATTTGATTTCAAAAGAGTTTGGCATTAGCATGTTGAAGGTTAGGACTCTATACATATAAAAAGGCAGTTCAGTGGCTTTTGGAACACTGTTATTTAAGTATTATTTATATACTATTGTAGTATTAATTAATATTTTGAATTAGTTTTTATTTTTATATGTTCAGTTTTCTTTTTAATTATTATTTAGCTTTATTTTATTTTATTTCCGTTTTAGCAATTTTGATACTTCAAATTAAACTTACTTTATTTCAGTTATTTGCCAAGGCAACAATTATTAATTTTTTTCATCTAAAATTTATATTTTATATCAGCTTTATTTCAATGAATGAAAACTATTTTTAATAATTTCAGTTAACAATAACACCTTTTAGAATGGAGTCAGTGAATGAAAAAGGAAAAGACTTATTCCCAAACCCCCTTACCTTTCTTTCTCAGTCATGACCTGTACAGGGCTGAGCTGGTTGCTCTTGTTGCCGGTGCCCAGCTGGCCGTAAGTGTTGGCCCCCCATGCATACAGTAGGCCCTCATCGGTCAGTGCTAGAGAATGAGCGTAACCTGATGCAATCTGTTAAAAAGTGACACAGTGACATGTTTTACTATTTTTCCACCCATTTACATTTTTAAAAAATCGATATGGTCAAATGAGTTATGTGGAAAAATTATTTTCATTCAAACAATAATCTTACTGACCTCAATCATTTGAACGATAGTATATATTACCATATTATTACATGTACAACTAATAATCTAAGAACATGGCAGATCTTCTGTTTCGTACCTGCACCACACAGAAGCCTTGTAGCGCAATCAAACGGCACGGTGTCAGCTGGTTCCCATTGTTGCCTAACCCTAGCTGGCCGTTACCATTGTAACCCCAGCCATAAACCTGAAATGCACACACATTTCACCACTAACAAACAAGCAACACAGCTACAGTGAGAAATACAGCAAGACACCACACAAGCTCTAAATAGTCACTAGTCAACACAATATTTTACAAAGCACGTTGCATATTTCCATAAACAGGAAGGTTATAAATGGTTAATTTAATCCCTTACCTCGCCATTATCCGCCACAGCCATGGATGAAGTCTGTCCACAGGCTATACTGACCATCACTTTGCTCTGCAGACAGTTGGACACCTTGCGGGGTGTGGGCTGGTTGGCGGTGGACCCTGAACCCACCTGACCACAGTTGTTGTAGCCCCACGCAAACACCTAGGACGACATACAATTAGCGGCCAAGTTAATTAGCAGGGACGTTAAGCTAAAAATATTCCTTTATAAAAACACACGGCAGCCAATGTTTTTGTGTGAGCTACAGCTAGAACTTTTAATGAAGCGGAATATGAATTATTACCACAGACAAACACAGAGTGTTACACCCGAGCTGATCTTAGTAGTCACAGTGAGAACAAAAGCCCTCACAGCTTAGCAAAAAAGGTCACATGCTCCTTATTACAACGAGCACATCGAGGCTAAGCAGATAACTATACTTGCTAAACAGATGAGGAAAGAGAGGAGGGTTTTGTCAAACCTAAATCCACCTAATACCCTTTAAAATGTAACCTACATATTTAACCCACTACTGAAGTGTTTCTAAAGAGACTGATAAAAGCGAAATTGTTACATGCAAAAGAACGGGAAAGATTTTGTTTGGATTATGGGATTAGCATGTGACACGGAGCAATTTTAACAGAATTTTCTATATTCTGAAACTATTTGATTAGTCCATGCCATCAGATTCACAGTATGTCATTAGTTTAACCCTAATTAATGGACATATCTGTGCACCAATAGGTTGATCTTGGCATTTTAACCAATAGGCAGTGTTTTAAATCAACCACAATGGAAAAAATTAGACTTAAAAATACCTCCACGTGAGAAACACAGCTGAATCAGTCTGTGGTCCACTAAAGCCTCTAACTCTCTTACCCCAAATAAAAGAGTACATCTCAGAGAAATACTTCTTTAACAGAGACATTCTGGGATAAACACAACTTATTATGCGGTCCTTTTTTGTCTGTCTTATCATAAAGCAAATTCGCCAACAGTGGCATTGCTAGTCTAGCATATGTTCTACCTTTCATATGTTCTGCTGTTTTTAATCAATTTGAACTGGTTTCTATTCCTTTTTGGGGCAAGGCTGGATTATTTCTAAATGTAATAATAAAATGTGACACATATTAATGCAACTCATCTGTGATTTTTCAATTGTATTGTTGAGAGAAAACTAATCAATATTTGGTTAAATGTCCAATCTCTTATGTATGGAAGCCCATTTCCACCACAAATGAAAAATAATTATCATTTACCAAAACATGATTTGGAATAATTATTACAAACATTTATGAGAAACTAAGTCATGTTTATGAGATAAAAGGTCAAATTTATGAGAAATGCCGAAATGTTATGTCAAATGCATAAACGTTAATGAATGCGTTCATGACCTCAAGGTTAGATTATTGTAATGCTTTATTGGGTGGTTGTTCTGCACGCTTAATAAAAAAAATCCAGCTGGTCCAAAATGCAGCAGCTAGAGTTGTTACTAGAACCAGGAAGTACAACCATATTAGCCCGGTTCTGTCAACTCACTGGCACTGGCTCCCTACTGAACATCGTATACATTTTAAAATCTTGCTAATTAATTATAAAGCCCTGAATGGTTTAGCTCCTCAATACTTGCGTGAGCAGCTGCGATCTCAAAACTCGCTATTTGATAATACCTAGAATATCAAAATCAACTGCGGGCTAAAAACTGATCCTTTTTAGCACCCAAAATCTGGAACAGTCTGCCTAGCATTGTTCGGGAGGCAGACACACTCTGTCAGTTTAAATCTAGATTAAAGACCCATCTTTTTAACCTGGCATACACCTAATACACTATCGCATATCTATAACTCAAATCCATTAAAGGATTGTTAGGCTGCATTAATTAGGTCAACCAGAATCGAGAGTACTTTCCATAACACCAGATGCATTCGCTACATCATAAGAAAAATGGCATCTGTGCTAATATTAGTCTGTTTCATTCTTATTCCGAGGTCACCGTAGCCATACGGATCCAGTCTGTATCCAGACCAGACCTAGAGACGACCTCTACAGCCCTGAATGTCAGCAGAGACCATGTCAACTAGATGAGCCCCAGAGACAGATCCCCTGCGAAGACCGCGTCAACTAGATGACCATCGGCACAAGACCACGGGAACCAGACAAGTCCTCTGTGTTACAGCCTGGAATTAAACCACGTCATGCTGGTTTCGTCTGGTTTCTCCCAAGGTTTTTTCTCCGTTTCTATCACCGATGGAGTTTTGGTTCCTTGCCACTGTCGCCTTTGGCTTGCTTAGTTGGGGACGCTTGATTGACTGATTGCACAGACACTACTGGAAGAGAGCTGAACTGGATGATGATGCTTAGTTGGGGACGCTTGGTTGACTGATTGCACAGACACTACTGGAAGAGAGCTGAACTGGATGATGACATCACTGAATCATCAATGAACTGACTTTAGCTGGAAAAAGTTTGTTTGTTATTGGCCTCTTGCATTACTGACAAACTATTTTCCTGTTTGACACTGTAAAGCTGCTTTGACACAATCTGTATTGTATAAAGCGCTATGCAAATAAAGGTTAAAAAAACCCATAAAATTCTAAATTATGACATAATTAGACATAACGAATAAAAAGTCAATCATAAAGCCAATTAAGACAAAAAAATGTCATAATATGCCATAATTATGCCATAAAGCAAAGCATTTACCAAAGTGGTGCAAATAGGCTTCCATACTCAATTGAAATGTAACGAAAAACTGTTCCCAAGCCTCACCTCACCCTCAAGGGTTAGAGCCAAAGAGTGGTGAGAACCACAGGCAACTTCAGTCACTCTCTTGTTCTGCAGGTTAGTAGACAACAAAACAGGAGACACACCTTGATTGGTCGTCCCATTGCCCAACTGACTGTATCCATTATGCCCCCATACATACAACTCCCCCTCTGTAAAGAGAAGAAAGGACTTTGAATAAGGCAATAGTATCAAATACATACCCATTACTATGTTTAAACATTTAAATAGAACTGTAATGTATCCAGACAGGCAAGTGATTTCACATTATGCCTCTACTTTAACTATAGGCAAAGCCACAAAATACTTTCAGTTTACATAGAATATAGGAATTCAAGCTTGTACTTACCTTCTGTAGCGAGCAGAACATGAGGGCCACTGCCATAGCTCAAACTAACCAGCTTCTTCCCAGTCAGACAGTCCAGCTTTTTAGGAACAATTGTGCTCTGACTGTCTCCAGTGCCCAGGCAATTACTGCAGTTCAAACCCAACACGTACACCTGTGTCAGGACATCCAGATTAGTTTTTATGTGAAGGTACAGAAGCCCCTCGTGAAACTTTATTCTGTCAATACAAATGACTAAAACAGGCCATGTAAGCTTACGCCACCAAGACTCACACAGACAAAGAAGATACTATCAGTTTCTTGATCAGCTTACTTCGTCATCGTGGGTGATAAAGATAGCCTCATTCGCAGATGTTCCGAAGATGCATGCATGTCGTATGGAGGCGAGCTCCTGTGCACTCAAGAGGGTGAAGAGAGGCCACTTACTCACATCCACCATGGCAACACTCCTTTGTAAGAGCAGGGGATGGGGTTTGGAGACAAGAAGATACCTGCTGTGTGTGCCTTGGAAAGTGGACACATACACTATCACTCAAAAGTCTGGAATAATTAAGATTTTGAAATGTTTTCGAAAGAAGACTCTCACGCTCTCATGCATTCATTTGATCAAAAATACATTAAAAACAGTAATATTATATAATAATATAACAATTTTAAAAACTGTTTTGTTTTAATATATTTTAAAATATAATGTATTCCTGTGATGACAAAGCTGAATTTTCAACATCATTACTCCAGTCTTCAGCATCAAATGATTCTTCAGAAAACATTCTGATATGCTGCTCAGTTCAATTATTATTTCAAGATCAACCTGAGGTAAATTGCCTTAACAAGGATGGCAGATGACCACTGCACTTGGTTTGATATTATATCCCAAGATACCACAGCTCACAACAATTTACACAACACACTTGCATAATATATAGAAAGGCTTTTGTGTGTGGAACAGCACTGAACTGATGGGTCATAAAGCCTATTTGTCTGTTGTTTTGTCACTAAAACATTTCAGTGCAGTGCTTTATAACGGACCAACTGCTAAAACTCACTAGTTACAGCTTTCATTGTATCTGTGTCACTTTTACAGCTGCTCAGGGATCAGTCACGACCGTGTAGCAAAATCTACAGTAAAAACAAAAGTAAACAGAAGACTGCACTGTCTGCTAGTGTGTAATGTGCACGTGAAAGAAATCGCTAAATCAGCAGGGTTGGTTTAAACATATATTCTTGCAGGCTCGCGTTACTGTACGTATAAGCAAGCTCAGTTAGCCTGACAGCTACTGCATCGCTCCATCAGGACATGAGATAGACTCAGACTACAGAAAAAAAAACGGTTTTCATCAAGACAACGCCACAAAACCTACCTAGTAACTACAGGAGTTTGGGACCATGCAATTAGCGAGTTATCCAGTACCTCTAGTAGCCTGTGGCGCCAGCAGTATGTCCATGGGAGCGAGTTCACATCAGAGAAAACAAACTCACTTGTTTCCTGATCATGGTTGCTACGGCTCCATGAACGACTGCTCAACTGTCCAATCACAGACTGCTTGTACGTCGCTCCTACTTCATGGATTGGTAGAAGCAGAAGGCTGGAGATAGAGGGGGCGGGACTTGGCGGAATAAGGATGACAAAATACACGCGAGGAAAAATAAGGTGTAAAATAAGCCGCATACATGTTAATAATAATAATAATTGTAAATGTAAATAAATAAATATAAATGTTAGGTCAAATGTAGGCCTACTTATTGAGTTCATGTTGAACTGCAAAACACTTGCTACTATTAAAGTGGGTTAGGATTAGTGGGTACCCTTACGAAAATTAACCATGGTTTAATTATAATAGAAGTGTAGTAACCTTTTTTTGCGCATTGATTACCACAGTTTTACTACAAATACCATAGTTAAACTATGGTTAGTGTAGCAAAACCATGGTCCATTTGTGGTTACCATGAACTGTTCTCTAAGATTTTGGTATCAAAAATAACAATAACACTATTTTATATTTTTGTGGCAGGGCAAGTAGTAGGCTAACCATGTTTATATATATATGTAGTAAAACCATGGTTAATTTTCGTAAAGGTACGTTTAGGTTAGGTTTAAGGGTGGGTTAAGGTGTAGGGGTAGGGTCGACAGTGTAATAATTATAGATGTAACTACAGAAATTAATTACATGAGTAACTGGTAACTACACGCGAACTATTAGCACAACGTACACAATTAGTTCATTATATCTATTGATTCATTTCAATGTTAGTATAGGTAAAGACACATAATATAAAGTGGGTCCATTATTATTGTTATTATTATATTCTTCTGCTATTTTAGTAGTGCCACCCGTAGCAGCAGAATACTGCTGAGATAAAATCTTAGAACACAGAACATTTATATCTTGTTTTTTATATACGTTTACGCTTTTACCTTAGCAGTAATATTCAAATAGATTCAAAATATTCGTTTTCATATTTTATACACATTATTGTCAAGTCATACAGGATCATTTGCATTATTCAGTTCGGTTTCTGGGATCCCCGAGCAGGCTGGCCCGCGTGTAAAGTTGACAAACCTGTTTTAAAATGTGGATCAACTAGTCGGGCTGAATTCACGGACAACCCCTATATAGTTTCAGCTACATGTAGCCGTTCACATAGTGTCGCTTCTGCTTTGCATACGAACATAAAACGAAGAGTGCAATCAAGGACTCCGCTAAATGCCAGCCTGAACCTGCCGAGATACAGACAAGAGTCCGTAAGTTCAATCAGAAACGCGCCTTTCAAATCAGGATGGGCGCCAGTAAGTCTAAACAATATAAAAAGATTCATCAAGTTCTCCTCGTGGGCTTGGATGCGGCTGGAAAATCTACTTTGCTGTACAGGCAGCAGCGTGGTGTGGTGATGGAGACCTCACCTACTGTGGGCTTCAATGTTGCGACTGTAGAGCTGGACAAGAAGACCTCACTGACCGTGTGGGATGTTGGGGGACAAGGAACTATGAGGCCCAATTGGAAATACTACCTAGAGGGATGTAAGGTCCTGGTTTTCGTGGTGGACAGCAGTGATCATGCCAGGATGGGAGAAGCCCAGAAAGCCCTGAAGAAGATTCTGAGTAATGAGCATTTGAAAGGAGTTCCCCTGATGGTGCTGGCTAACAAAAAGGACCTGCCAAACTCTATGACTATTAGAGAGGTGTCTACATTGCTGGAGCTGGATAGTTACACAGATCGAGTGTGGGAGATCCAAGATTGCAGCGCCCTGAAGGGACTGGGTCTCCAACAAGCCTGTCTCTCTATAGCTAAGCTAATGCACAAAGCATAAGTAAGATACTAAGCTAACTACAGAATACAATAACAAGCAAAATGAAGTGGTTTGATCATGACACTATCATACTAAAACTAGAACTAGAATGTTAGGCAAATAATTGACTGATTTAACTACTGCACTTGTTCACAGTTGCTGTATATGCTGTAAATAGTATGTTTATTTTTTTTACTTGTCTTCATGGTCTGCACTTCAAGCATGTGTTCTGTAATTACTGAAAACAACTTTTCCTTTGTAATTGAATGCCATGTTGCTGTGATTTTGATGAGAATCCTGTCTTGTGATACATACATTTTGATATTGGAAACTTTATTGAGGAAAATTCATAGAAATTGGGTGCTTTTAAATGCAATTTCAGTCTTAGGTAACACTTTACGATAAGGTCCAATTTGTCAAATGTAGTTAACTACATTAGTTAACATGAACTAACAATGGAAATTTGTTAAATAATGTTAATGCCACTTTGTCATGATGCCATCATTCATATACATCATGGATATTTTGATTTTGAAAAGCAGCTTATGCATTTTAGATAAAACATTGCCTTATCACAAATAGGTAAATTCATATTTAGACTCTTAATTTAGACTCAAATGGATTGGATATACATTACAACTTTATTTGGAAACTTTACTGAGTCGAATCAATAAGAAATGGGGTGATTTTATATTCAATTTTTGTTTTATAGGCAACTTTCCACATGTTCCATTTGTTAACATTCGTTAACTACATTAGTTACCATGAACTATCAATAGAAAATACATCTAAACATGTATTGATCTCAGTTAATGTTCATTTGAACATTTACACATAATAGTGTGTAAATTAAAGTAAAAAGTTGTTTCTGTTAATATTAATGGATTTGAGCTAACAATAAACAGTTGTATTTTTACTAACTTTAACAAAGATTAATAAATTCTGTAACAAATGTATTGCTCATTGTTAGTTAACGTTTGTTAATGCATTATCTAATGTTAACTAATGGGACCTTATTGTAAAGTGTTCCCCTTTTATATTGTTTACACATGAAGCTGTAGTGAAATTACAATGCCTAAATTGTAAAATAAACTAATCTTTGACATTGCAATGATGAATACCTTAAACCTTACATACCTTGTTCAGGCCTGCATATATAAGTGACTATGACCAAAATATAGCAGGCTAACCTGTTATGCTGTCATAACTTGGCAAGAAAGTAGCCAACTCAATAGCACTGTGTAAAAAAGAAGCATGTGATGAAACATGAATTGATGTAACTATTTACAATATAATCTGGATCCAATTTGTGCTTTCTATCATACTGGATAAGGTAGTTTGGTAAGGGGAATTAGTAGGGAAGCTGGTCCTAGATCAGTGTAAAAAAAAAGCTAAATAAAGAATTCACTGTTTAGGTGTCATATGGCAGGAATGCAAATAATACTAGTAAAAGTCTGTTGCTATGAGTCAGTAGTTTGGTGTGAACTTCCTTTGTGTCTTTACCACTGCAATTATGCAAAGATACGTCGTAACAACTGTTCCTCTAATATTCTGTGTACGCAATAAATGTGTATAATACATCAACTGCAGTACATCCTCTCCACATCTCACTCTGTTGACTTTGAAAGGCTAATTATAACTGTGATAATTATATGCTTGATCACTAATGATCTGATTTTATCTGTTCTTCTTCTTTGGATACTGATGCATCCTTCTCAAATCCCTCCATGACTGCAAAAGGAGGAGTCCAGGCACCACCACCCAGATCCCATTGAAGAACACCAGGTAGACCCACAGGTACAGCCAGTTGCTGGTGTCCAGGTTAGGGCTTCCGATTAGCCAGTCTGGACAGAAGGTCATCCAGCCCCCGTACAACTCACACACACATAGTGTGATCTGAACAAAGTGCCTGGTTCAGAAAGAAATGCGAGACATATACACAAATGCATAAAACAGTGTTAAATATCAAGAACCCTAACTAATAAATGATTTTATTTTGCAGATTGTGGGATGGAGTTTGAATTGGAAATCAAAGCTGGATTATTGAGATTGTGGGGCAAAAAAAATAGGTTAGAAATTTAAGAGAAAACATTGCGTTATCACAAACAGAAAAAATCATATTTAGACTTTAATGAATCTCAAATGGATTGTATTTATATGCAGAATGAATCATTTTGAAAACTGTTTCCTGATTTACCTGTAGTGTTTGTCTTTGATGATGGCGTAGACTAGAAGCAGGGCCAAAGTACCATCTAAAACCACTGTCAGAAGCTCCAGAGATACTATTGTCGGGTCGGAGTACAACCAGCGCTCATCTGCCTTGCCATATTCTTTCCCTGTTAAACATTAACATGCATTACATGTACAAGACAACAGAAAGCAGAAATGAACTTTTCAAGGTAAATGGACATTTTGGAGGTTTTGCATCTGCATTCAAGATGCACATAAATTGCTTCAGGAAGTAAGACATTCTGTAACTATTTGAGGTCCGGACTGGCAGAAAGTGGAGAGCCTCAAGGGAGCTGGAGGCAGCAGAGTCTAGGCCGGGTCACTTTTTCAGGTCTAGAAAGCAAACTTTTTAAAATTTGACTTCCTAATATTTCCAGAACTGTGGAAACCCTGGTTTTTCTTTTTTAGATTTAGTTTATTTTGAATGCTGTTTTTGTTTTAATTGAAATCGTTCCATCATCTTGAGGCCCCCGGCCCCCTTGGTTGAGAACTACTGATTTAAAGGGATAGATCACCCAGAAATTAAAATGTAATTTAATGTCTCAATATCTTACAAGACTGTCAAGAACTATTGCCTAGTCTTGGATTATTTAGCAAGCAAGTCGTATAGAATAACTATGGTCACTGTATGTATTACAGCAACTTTTGTGTTCCACAGGAAAAAAAAACATATCACACGTTGAAAATGATATTAGGGTGAATTTTTGGCTGAACTTCTCCTTTAATATTACTACTGTTTAACGCAAGTCACATTACACAAAACCGAGCACTTTCTAAATTGTTTTTGATTGTACAGAATCTCTTAAATTCAATTAATGGACTTTGAACTTTGTACATCATACCTACCAACAAACACCACTAGATGTCATCCTACTCTATCAGTCTTGTTTTCTTCTAACCAAATCAGTTCATTTCATTAGTGCAAATCACTTTTCATTTGACTTTGTGTTGTAACCATAGACTGTAACGCAGCATACTCACATAGCTCTGCCAATAGACCGTCAGAAGTTGCCACATTTCCAACAAGTGACATGTAGACGAAGGGTCCCTCCTGCACGGTCAAGCAGCCAGAGGTGAGCAGAGAGTTACGAGCAGGTAAAACGTGAACGTTCCTGCATACACCTTTGCACTTACCAGAGTAAAATGAACTATTGCGTCGTAAAACAACCACACGAGGACCCACCGATCAACAGCTGAACATTTATTCCCACATTTTTGCGCAAAACCAAACCCGACAGCAAACTGAGCCACACACGCGAGTAGAGAATAAACCGTTACTTTAGTGAAAAGTGCAGGTTCTTCGCCTTCTGCCATTATATTTGTAGTAACTTGCTTCACTCGGTCTCAGTGCAGTGGCTGAATGACATATCCAGGCCCCACCCATGGTTCTAACGCGGGAGCTTTAAAGCCATAGGCTCAAGCAGAACTCTCTCCACTTCACCCGTCCACGTCACAGAGCAGAGTACGTTTTGGCGGCAAATTGTTTTATTCCACCAAGTACTTTTCTGCCATTATGTAATAATTATATTCAACGCCATAATATATGTAGACATCATAGAATTACCTGACAAATGTACAAATATCCCATTTAAAAACAGCTAGGAACAGCATGAAAATATATCAACCGTAACATTTGCAAGAGCTTTTCAGTCATGACGTCGATTTGTAGTCCATCGCATAATTCTAATTCTAGCCATGGATGCCCTTAGGAATTTCATATGGTTAAAATGTTCGATTTAAGATTAAAATTACACATTTTGCTCTTCAATCTAAATTGCAATTTTTTTAAACCTACTTTTTAAAACCAACTTAAGTTGGGAGCAAATTGATCCCTCATGCACACAAACTCTCGTCCCCTATGGTAGTTGTAGTCCTTATGAAGCACATTGCTTTTTTTTTTTCATAGTGGTTTTAAATTTCATGTTTGAGGTATGACCGTCTTATTTATGTGTATTTAAGTTTCTTTAAATAATGTAAAGAAATAGATTATTAAAAATAATTTCTCAAAAATGCTAATTGTCTTAACTTGATGGCCAGCAAATCTCACCCAAAATTTGTCACCAATGTAAACATTGACCCTATAATGTGGACGCAGGTGACTGGTGTGTTTCCGATTGATCTGATTTAATCTCTCTGTAAGCTCACAAGAAACAACATAGAGCATTGCACTTATTAGAAAGAGAAGAGAACAAGACTTCTGAATAGAAAAAGCCAAATTAAATGCCAGAACAGGGACAAGAAGGAAAGCTAACAGGTAAAAAGAGAAGAGACACCAAAGCATCAGAAGGTCAATCATAAAAGAGCAATAAAAAGGATGGCTAACAGCAAGTTTATTTTGGTTAGGTTCATTGATACATAAAGCACGTCCTGAGGGAGTGATGAGTGAAAGATGTGTTGCCATAGATGGATAGGTTGAGAATTGTGCGTAATTGTGATCCATATGAAAAGAATGAGAAGGGAGCAAAATGGAAGTTAAGGGGATCAATTACAAGTCAGCCAGCAGACTAGAGGAGAATTTAATAAGAATTATACTATACTCCAGAGAACGTCTCATCGTAATGTCCAGAGATAGGCAGACATAACACCCAAAAGACCCCCATATTATAAGCAGCTCCAATGCAACGTGGTAGGCATTATTAACCTTTTTTAGTTGCTTTGAAATGAAAAACAAAAGGCACAATGAATTTCAACTCATTCTTTATCTTTAATATGCACAGTTGAAAAAAAAAAATACTGATGAGCCACCTTAAAGAAAAATTCGGTTCTAAAATTTATAAAAACGTACAATCAGAGGCCAAAATGCGATCTGTCGCTTTTTTAGATTTTTTTTTTCTTTAGCAAGTAAAAATCTTGCAACAAGCAATAAGCTTGTATCCATTTCTGATACAAGACAAAACTTCTTTAAAGTGGCTCGTTTTCTAGTTGTCTAGATAAGTTCATGAATTTCAAACCTGTTTTTTCTTTTTGTTCAACAATAATGGCTAATTCAAAAATCATCAGGGCTGCCTTCAGCTTCCTTACTGTCTTTTTCAGCAGTTTGCAGCCCAAACATAACTACTTTAGTTCAAATGCATTTTTCCCCATACATCCCTTTACAAGTTAATGCACAGTGAAAAAAGCAGAAAAAAAACATCCAGTCACAACAGTAAGTTTCCAAATTTTCCAGCCCATTTTCCATATAATGGCAATCATTTGCCATTACAAAACAAAAGTTAAAACAAAAAATAACAAACAAAAATTACCCCTATTGGCTGTAAATCAATAACCACAATATTATTATTGTTCTGTAGCATCCCAACAATGTCTAGTGGACCTAAGTGTGGTAGCTTCACATTATATACCTAAACAAGAAATATGCTTTTATTTTAGTTGGTACAATTAGGTTTGGTAGCAAGTGAAATAAGATTAAAAACCAACTAAACAAAAAAAGGAACCACTATGTCACGGATCTCCTTTTCCCATTGCTTGTATAGTCAAAATTAAGCGAACATCGCTCTCCACTTACATTAAGCAATAAAACGGGAAAACCAAATGTGTGCGCGTAAGACTGGAAAAACTCCAAAAAGCGGAAGCTCTACTGATCAAAAAAAAGAATTCACAATCCAATCACTGTTGCAAAGTTTCTTGTGGTTTTGACTACCAAGTGAAGAAATTAACTGATTTAGTGAAAATATCCTCCATCCGGTTACTGGGGTTATCCCAATGAACTTATTACTATGGTTACAGACAGGAAGCAGAGAAGATGAATTCAGAAAATAAAAAGCGCTGCCAGAGCACCCTTTTTAAGCAGAAAGACCAGTTAATGTTTTCTCAAAGAACTTCCAAAGGTTGGGGCAGCCCTTTAAAAGTCCTGGCCAAATTGACAAATCACATAGGATCCTCCTTTGACATGTCCGACAGTCCCACTGCAAACCAAAAAAGATCGGCACAATGAATGTCCACTACACTATCACTGCAGAAGTTCGAAAATGAGGGTGCTTGACTGTCTTGAATGAGATTTTCTCCATTCAAGTTTGTGTGATCTTCTGATGTGATTTTTTTCTTCATTATCTTCAGTGTTTTGTAAATATCCATAATTTCAGGATGAAGAACAAGCAAGAACTGGTGGCGAGAATTTAAGTTCTGTTTGCACACCACATATTTAGAGACACTCCCTTCCCACATTTGAATAATATTCCATGGAATAACCCATTATAGGCTAGTTCACAGATTTCAGATGAATGAGGGAGGGGGTCCAAATGGCTTAACACAGTCGAGGCTGGACGTATTGAGTTGGGTGTCTGGCTGAGACTCTAAGATCATGACCAGAAATGCAACATTTTGAGGGAAGGACTTTCTTGGAAACAAAAGAAAATCCCTGCCTATATATTTCAGGAATATCTCTTTCTTTCATCTTCCTTGGCTGATATGATGGCTGGTACAACAACAGAAGTTCCTATTATTGTTTATGATCACCTATGTGTGCGTGTGAGTGAGTGAAAGCAAGAGCAAAATATATCTCTTTTTTTTTTTTTTTTGGCAACTGCAGTATAATGAGTCTTGTTCTTTTTTTCTTCCATGTCTTGAGGTTGTTGAGATCCATCCATGTTTTGAGTGGCATTGAGACTCATATCCTTCAGTGCTAGTTTCTTCTGTGTGAGTGAGTGTCGTTTCTGAGCATGGTGATTGATTGTTTTTTCTGGTTAGTGAGTGGTTGGTAGGTGATGGGTCAGTAGGTGGCAGGGGCTGAGGAGCAGCTGGGAAACCCACCATTCTGAAGTTCGAAGCTCCGGTTGTCTAGAACTTGAACTCCTTGGTTTGTAGGTTGGAGGATGGATCAAAGTTAAACGTGCCTCCCTGGGTGGCCTCAGGAATAAGGCTGGGGTCCTCATCAATCTACAAGCCAAACCAGACATTATTAACCAGATATCCACTGATAATTCAAATCTAGAACAGAACCCCCAACAAATAAAGCCCACGAGCAACAACACAGCCGTGCGTCAAGCACTATACAGAGAAACATGCCAAGAACCGAGAGATTGAGACTCACATCGTCTCCCGAAAAGTACTGATCGATGATTTCAAATGCAAGTTTATAGATGTCCTCATTTTCATGCTGCTGTAGGTTCTCAATTTTTTCCAATCCTGAAACACAGAAGCAAGATTACTGCTGATCTTTTTCTACAAAATAAGTAAAAACATCAGCGTATGTGCAGATGTGATCATTTTTGGACTAATCTGCTGGTCATTTATCACAATACAACCAAAAGTGATGGTCTAAATTTAAAGACTACCCATTTCTATACTGTATGCATTACCTCCACACTCTTCAATGATCTCAGCAATTGTGCTGGCTTCCTCCCCAGCCATGATGAGGATGTTTTTCAGTCCATCGAGAACCACCTGGACCACCTGAGAGTCTTTCACTGAAAGCAGGTTGCAGAAGGGCGGGATCACGTTTTGCTGCACCAAGTACTCCACCTGCCAATTACATCAAGGTAACCAATGAACAAGCATGAAAAGGAAAGTGGCTCGGAATCAGAGATACATCTGGAATGGTTCATACCTGATCCTTTCTTCCACTTATTGTCAAGTTGCTAATGGCCCATGCAGCCTCCTTCTGTGTTCCAAAATCACCCTGTTTGGAAATGCCAAGACATATCAGACATCAAATTAAAGATCAAGCAGTGTTTAGTTATAGAGTGTCTAAACTGGACTCATCAAAGAGTCTAGATTCAAGCTCTAGAATTGATTTCTGATGCCATATAACAGATTATTAATAGTGAGAGAACATTGATAGTGAAATAATCATATTACAAATGTTTTTAATTTTCTCAAGAAAATATGAGTGGTTCATGCCGATTCTAGGGTGTTATAAGTGGTTACTTATTGGCCCCTTATTGCTTATTGGCCCAAGTCAAATAAGACCCACCATCAAATCTCTATGATATTCTGATCACCAGAAATTGCCTGGATTTAAAATAAATGTTAAAAGCAAGATTAAATAAGATTAATAAGATATATATATATATATATATATAAAGGAAAAACGCAACATAGAAGCATTTTCACAACTTGTCTCGAGATTTTTGGACCCCACAGTATATATACTGTAGCAGTTCTCAAATTAGGAGCTGTAATGAATGCTAAAATGAAAAGTGGGTGTACAGCAGGCTATGCAGATAAAGACTTACCTTGGCAAGCTGGTGAATGATCATGGGTATGAGACCAGCATCTATTACAGCCTGCACCTGCTGCTGGTTACCTGCTGTTATATTGGACAGGAACCACACTGCCTCCTGCAGGGAAGAACAGAAACATCACAGATGTACTCTAAACATGAGCCACAGCGCTTACACTGGGACTGGGGAGATTTCTGGAGTCATTTATGAAATTAGACAAGTAAATATTTGGGTTTCATCATCTTGATTACATTTCACACAAATGGGATCAGATG